CCAGGGAAAGGTGCCCACCGGCATACATTTGTCATGGGTTGGGGGCAGACAAGGCTGAACCAGTTCACATCACCCGCTGGTGAATCTGAGCACCAGAACAGAGTGTGGATCAGGCCAGGTATGGTTGCAACACACTCCAGTGCACATTATGGCTGGGATTGGTTGCCTACTGGGCTGGGCTAGGCTATAACCCTCACTAGCGTCATCTGGAATTGGGGGTGGGCCAGGCTACAAGCCCCACTGGCAAATGCCAAGGTGAGATGGGCCATACCAGACTGGACTGCAGCGCCCAACCAGCATGAAAACAAGGAAGGGAGGGGGCAAAGCCGGTAGGGGGAATGTGGAGGGCTCCCCTGCTGGACAGCCACTCCCACTGGAGCTGGGATGGGGACAGACCAGACCACGCAGGGCTATAACACCTGTGGGCCTCATGTGAGCTAGATCAGGTAAAAGCCAGGCTGGGCTGATTATTCCTACTGGTGCAGGCATAAATTAGAGTGGGTGAGGGATGATTGGATTTTGCCGTAGCATCAGATGGCAGAGGCTGGCACTGGGGGCTAAATTCTGTCAAGTTAAATGCCAGAACCACCTGAGAGTGCATAATCTGGGAGTGGGAGTGGCCTAGGTGGGAAATAGTGGGTAGCTCCTTCTCGGGTTACCATTCCCACTGGACAGCATGAAAACTAGGACTGGGGCAGGGGTGGCTGGACAGAGCAGCAACCGCCAGTATGTGTGTGGGATGGATAGCAGGGCAGGTTGGCTTGAACTAGGCTTCAATGCCCATTGACCTGTACGAGAGCTAAATGGAATGTGTGACAGACTGAACAAATCTGCGGTATATACTGGCAAACACCGGAACCAGGGTAGGGGGCAGGCCTGTTTATGGGGAGTCGCCCCAACTAGGCTGCAGCTCTCACTGGTTTGTGTGAGGGCCGAGTATGAAGTGGTTAGGATCGGGCTAGACTGGAACACCCATCAGTTTGCATGGAAGACAAGACTAGAAACAGAACTGACCCAGCAATTGTAACCACCAGCATGTGCATAAGCTGATTGGGTCGATGGACTGTGTCGGACCCTGTGCTGGCAAGAACACCCAAGAATCAGGTCTGGGATTACCTCAGATGAAGTTTCTTTGGAGATCCCTCCAACTGAACTGCTGATCTCAGAATCCCAACTATGAAGAGTCTATGTCAGCCAGTGGATTCTGAATAAGATTCATTGTGCTTGAAATAAAGAGACTGACAGCAGTTCATAACTATTGAACTATCAAAACTGCATGAGCAGGACCCTTGGCACATGCCCCACATCAGGGACCTGGGATGGGTGGGAGGCTGGGTGGGGCTTCTCCCTTTATCTCCCCCTTTACCCCAGATACAGGAAAAAAAAAAGCAATTATGTGGAAACAATGGTCTTACACACATATCTGTAGCCCTTGACCCTTTGTGCTCTAATCAACTATGTAAAGATAACCAAAATAAAACAATTTAAAACAACAACAACAACAAGAACAAAAGGGGGTTTAAAATGGTGGCTTTTAATTACTCTGGCTGTGTGGCTTAAGCTGTTAATATTTTCAGCTCCATCTTTCAGATCACCTTCTCTTTCACTTACATGGTGCAAAGTATCAGCTGAAAGCTGTTTGCTCCGTTTCTTCCCAGTGTGCATGGGCCGGATGGCATTGCAGCCTGTGCTCCAGAGGCCCAAGGTCTCCCCTCACCTGATTTTCTGTCCCTGGCTCATTGCAAAACAGATGTTTGCTTTTGCTGCAATCATTCACTCCCAAGTGGCTTGTCCTGCCGAGTTGATTCTCTGAAATCCTGGCTTCGAAACCCGGCAGGGTTATACATCCAAATTTCTTCAGCCTGTACCCCAGGCCCAGCCAGCTGCCCTTGCAGACAAGCGACTGGTCACAAAGGAAACCAGAGGAGAGATGACTGGATCAGGTGGACCCAGCATGCTGGCTGCAAAAACATGTGTTCATTAGGAGCAGATCAGTATCGCTTTCTCCAGGAGTGAAGGAGAATCTATTTCTAGTCTCATTACTTATGCACAGTTGTGACTAAACTGCTACAGGGGACAGGCTCAGGTGTTGCTTCTCTGACGATGTCATTACAGCATCGCAGATCTTCTGGACTTTATGCTTAACTGCTATCACGTCGCTTCCATAACAGAAGCTATGGTTATGTAGACTTTGGTTTCTTTTCCTCCCTCCGTATCTCTGAATCCAGTTATTCTCACCTGCTTCATCATCTACACCGAACAGAGTAAGCCACTATTATGAATGTAAGAATAAGGTTCCCCAAACTGTGCCAATGAAGGCAATCTTGACAGATTATGTGCCCAAGCTGCTTAATATGTATTGAGCATACCATGAAATACAATCATTAGTATACACAGATGTATATATAGGGGTGAAAATATTATTTTGATAACTAACCCCAAGCTTTTCCTGGGGAAATTACTTTCTTTGTGCAGAATATACTTTGGGTCCAGTGCTCTGGGATAGCTGTTTAACCCATCGCCTGGAGTGCCACTGCACTGGGTGCCAGTGAGTCCTGGCTCCTCCACTTCAAACCCAGCTCCCTACTACTACGCCCAGGAAAGCAGTGGAGGATGCCTAACTATCTTTGCCCCTGCACCAAGTGGGAGACCCGGAAGAAGCTCCTGAGATCGCCCTAGCTCCAATAACCATGGGCCATATGGGGAGTGAATGAGCAGATGGAAGATCTCTGCGTAACCCTACCTTTTAAATGAACAAGTCTTTTTTTTTTTTTTTTATAAAAAAAAAACACCCTTTTGAAAACAGTTAAGGAATGGTGGGCATGAAAGCATAGATTTAGAAATGGAGATGACTGAAACACGACATAACGAGAGGCTAGATGATGGACCATGTGAAATTGCCGCTTAGGGATAGGGTTGGGGGACAAACATGCCATGGGGGAACCGACATTTTTTTAAAAGAGCCTTTTATTTGAGAGAGTTGCAGAGTAAGAGGGAGAGATCTTCTATCTGCTGGTCTCTTCCCAAGCAGCTGCAATAGCCAAAGATGGGCTGGTCTAAAACCAGGAAGGACCCCAAGCTTCTTCTGGGTCTCTTCCACGGGTGTCGGGGCTCAGGTACTTGGGCCATCCTCCGCTGCTTTCTCAGGCCATTGGCAGGGAGCGGGATGGCAAGTGGAGCAGCAGCAACCTGCATGGGGCCCTAAGGGACCGTAGTATGCAGAAGTGCTAAGTGCTGTGTCACAAAGCTGGCCCCGACTGAAGGATTCTAACTTTAGTGTGTCCTTGCTGTTCTTGTTCGTTTTGCATCCCTTACTTAAAACCCCTCAGCTGCTGTATGCCTTTAGGGGAGTCAAAGAAAAGGAATGGATGTGGGCATTATGTGTTAGGAGAGGAGAGGAAACGAGGCATGGGGCGGGACGCCAGGGATCCCAAGTGCTGAGGAGCCGCAGTGACCCTGGAGCGTTAGCTGCGGGCACTGCCGGTGTGGAGGGGACGTGTGGTGGCTAGGGCACTGGGGCCAATTTCATTCCTGTCTCTGACACGCTGACCCTGATAGCTGCAGTACATACTACTAGTTTGCTACTTTCAAGCACAATTTCTCAAGAGATATTTATTATTAGAAAATAACAAGCTCAGTAATTGACTGTTTCCCTCCACACTCCTCCCCCTTTTTTCCCTTTTCCTATCGCATCTTTGGACCTCATCCTCTTCCTCTATAAAAAGTGGAGAGTGGGCCTACAATATCACTCTGGATTTGATTACACCAGTTTTTTTTTTGTTCCTTTTTATTTTCCCAGCACATTTACATGCTGCAAAATGTGTACTATTCCACGAATATCTGACAGTTGTGTGAGCTTCTGTGACCTAAACTGTCACATACAGAGCTTTTTCATTACACACACACACTCCAAGAAACCTTCGCTGCTCAGCCAAATTCCATCTCCGGAGCCTGGCCGACCAGTATTGGCCTTGATGAATTTAATGCCATGTGGAAGCGCTCCGTGAATGTCAAGCTTTGTCGAGTAGGGTCGGGCAGTGTCACGGCGGAGTTTCCTCTGTCCTAGAACGGAAGCAGGCGGTGGCTGGCAGGGCAGGTGGGTCAGGCCGCCCAGGACAGGCACAGGCTCAGCCCGCCACCTTTCGGGGGCGTCCACCATAAGCTCCCAGCCGGAGGGATAGTGCCGATGGAAATCCAATGGAAATCACCGCCACCGATAAATTCTAAGCCAGGAAAAACCCGCGGGGTGCCTTCCAGTTCCTTTCTAAACCTAAAAGGGCAGGCAGATGGCAAATGTGGGAAAAAAAAGACCACACGTGTTCGACTTCTCTGGCTCAGAAACAAACCGAGCGGACCGCGAGCTGGACCAGTCGCCCTCGAACCCGCCCACCCGGGCGCCCCCTCTCTCTGACGGCACAAACGACCCTTGGAACCCAGTTGGCAGAACGCGCCCTGCCCGGGGATGGGACGCCGCTCCGGCAGGCCCCTCAGAAACGGCCAGAGCGCTGCCCGGTAGCCGCTGTCCTCCTCAGGGACGCCCAGCGCGGCTCGTCCCCGCGTCCCGCAGCCCGGCGGGCTTCCCGGGCCGACCGCCCCGCGCGGCCCCTGCGGCCCAGCCCGCGGCTGCCATGGCAACCGCACGCCGCCGGTGCCGCCGCCTCTTCACGCACGCCGCGAACTAACGGACGGTGCGGCGACGGCCTGCGCCCCACCCCACCCCGCCGGACCGCAGCATCAACGGTCCGCCGACCTGCCGCACTGAGGTAAGGCGCGCCCGGAGGACAGGCGCGCCAGCGGGAGAGCAGCGGGTCGGGTGCCCAAGTGGACAGCCTCGCCCGGCCTCCCGGTGGCGGAGACGCCCCAACAGTGGCGGGGCGGTGGGAGTGGGTGGGTTGGAGGGTGTTCGCTTCTCGGGCCGTCGTGCGGGGGACCAGAGTCGAGGCTGGGAGCTGGGCAAGCGCGAGGCTCGCTGTGCATTCTGGGGATTGTAGTTCAGCGGCTGCTGTCGGGCAGGCGGCGTCGGCGGCGCGGCACGGATCGGCGAACTACAAAGCCCGGCGGCCCCGACAGCTGGCAAAGACCGATAAACTTTGAGCGGACCCGTGAGAGAGAAAGAAAAAAAAATCTCTCTTTGTCTTGAGGGTGCTCCTGGGTGGTCGCGACACTGGGCTCTGTGCGCTGGGAAAGGGAAGCGGAGGTGAGAGCTGGGCTCCCCGCCCTGAGGCGTGGCCTGGACTGCAGGCGCCCTGCCCCGTGCCGGCTGGGCCACCGCCCCGCCCGAGTGCTGGGGTGAGCAGCCGCCCCCGCTGCACGGGCCTCGGGCCTCCGGCGCCTGGCACCCTCAGCAGGCTGCTGCCTCTCGGTGCAGGTGCAGAACCGTATGTATGGCACGCATCGTGTGTGTGTGAGACCGGAGCAGCTTGATTTCAGCAGGCTCTCCGCCTTTCCCGGAGACGTGTCTTTCCGTCCTGTTCGTATTGCAGAAGTGCACAAGTGCTGGCATAGCCGACCCATCCGTTAGTGATTATTCAGAGGGCGGCAGTGTTGAGAGGTTAGTGTGGAAGTGGATTTAAAAAAATCGGTGTTATTGGGTGGTATCCGGTACTTCTACCGTTTTGCATTGTAGGGTTATGAAATGAGACGACCTACCCCCCCACCCCCAACTTGAATCAACACTGCCTACACATATATGACTGCAGCTTGGAGGATTAGTTCAGTTTTGAGTTGCTGGCAACTTTTAAAGCACTGATTTATTTATTTTTTTCTTTGTTGCTTTTTTATTTGGAGCATTGGGTAGCACTCGTTTTTTGCTTGGCTTGGCGCAGTGTATATTGGGAGCACGCGTTTAGACACAAGAAGGCTATGTTTGAATGGTCTGAAGCACACCTCTGTTGTAGGGTTGGCTCTGAGCCCGGTGGTCAGGAGGCTGACCCAGATGGCGCACATCTGCCTTGGCTGGCTGCCCTTTAAAATTTCCAGTAGGTAGACAACCATCCCAGAAATGCAGTGCTTTTATGGTTTAAGTTGAAGAATTTTCAACAGTATTATGAGTTTATTGTTGTCTCTGATAGAAAAAAAAAAGCCCCTTAAGACCAGGAATATTATATGATTCTGTTTTTCTTTAATTGAAATGAAGCTGGCTGTTTGTATTTTACTTCAAGCAATGATGTTGAAAAAGGAGATGGAAAGTAGGGTTGGTAAGACCATTGTGGGAGTGGAAGCTAACAGGAATTTGGAGCATTTTGTTTGTTCTTTCAGATTTTGTTGAGGATCTAATCGTGTGCCAGACCTTATATGCCAGCTGGCAGGACCAGAGATGAGTGAGAGATGGTCTGTGTGTCCTGGGCACCTCCCTCAGTGTGACAGGAGGTTTCTGCATATGATTCTAGGAACGCGAGTGGGAATAAGCAACTATGGAACGGTATAGATGGATGGATTTATTGAATATGTATGAACTGTGAACTATGAACTGTATATGTATGGGTTTATTGAATCCTCAAATGTGGCGCTGTGTAGAGGATTTTGTGCGCAGGTGTAGAATTGTGACTGTACATAGAGATGAGGAAAGAGTATAAAAAGCCTTCACAGGATATCTGGTGAATGGGAACGCTCATGTCAGTCCAGGTGGGTCTAACTCACACCCTGATGTCAGTCACTCCTGTCATTCTCCCTCCCCACTAGTTGAAAGATGTGTATGCTATCTAGCAGGTCAAGGGTGTGGCTTTTGACTTGTGCTAAGAAATTTGGATGAGTATCCATTAGAGGATGAGGAAGGTTATTCTTTGCAACTTGTGTCACCTGAGTCAAGGAGAGATTTAAGAATGAATGCTTTGTGTTCGGGAATCCCCAAGTAATTCTGAATGACTGGGTCCCCACCCAGAACCTCTTGTGCTGTTGCAGGAGAGACCAGATCTTAAATAACTTGATACAAAGGTCAGAGTTTTAGAATTTCATCACGGGACAGTCCTTGAAGACGTTCTGCTAGAGCAGTGTCGTTGGCAGGTTTGTGTATTTAGAAGGGCAGTGCCAGCTCTGCATGGTGGAGACGGTCCTAGGAAAGATCGCAGGGGTGTGGGAAGCCAGCTGCAGGGAGAAAAAAAAAATCCAGTAGAGGAATTAACAGATTCTGAAGTAAGCAATTGGAGATACAGAAAGAGATTTAAGGAATGTTCAACAGATGAAACTGCTGTGTGACTTAGTGGGAGTTTCGGTGTCGGTAGCCAGGAAGATTCAATATCCTAGGATGTGCCTAGATTGCTACTGAGGTACCTGAGGATAAGTGAAAGGGCAGGTTTTTCATGGAGGTGAAAGATGAGTTAGTTGAATTTTGAACATTTGTTCAGTTTTGAACATTTATTCAATACCAGACTTAAGAGATAGCGGCACTGGGTGTACAGGTTTGCTTATAGGCAAGTAGCTAAAATGATAAAGGACCTGGGTGGAGTAGAAATAAAGAAGGAAGAAGTTTAAATTTGCAGCTCCGCTGGAGGCACTACTGTTTAAGGTGTGTGTTAGAGAAGTGGAGGAGAGCCCACAAATGAGGCTGGGAAGATCAGGAGGCAAAGAGGAAGCGCAGGGCCCGGCGTGGTGGCGCAAGTGGTTAAAGGTCCTCCCCTTGCACGCCCGGGATCCCATATGGGCGCTGGTTCTAATCCCGGCAGCCCCGCTTCCCTTCCAGCCCCCTGCCTGTGGCCCGGGAAGGCAGTCGTGGACGGCCCAAAGCTTTGGGACCCTGCACCCGCGTGGGAGACCCGGAAGAGGCTCCTGGCTTCGGATCGGCATAGTATCAGCCCGTTGCGCTCACTTGGGGAATGAATCATCGGACGGAAGATCTTCCTCTCTGTCTCTCCTCTCTGTATATCCGCCTTTCCAATGAAAAAATAATAAAAATAAATCTTTAAAAAAAAAAAAAAAGAGGAAGCGCCTGGAGAGAGAGAGAGAGACAGCACAGGTGAGGGCCAGGGAGTGCTGATGGCAGGGCTGGGCCGGTCAGCGTGACAGGCGTCCAGCGGATGTGCTGGCTTTAGGTCACTTCAGGACTGCAGTGAAGGGGAATCAGGACACATAGGCTTCTTGGAGGTCTGGCTTCTGCTCGTATACAAAAGGGAATAATGAGCCCCTGCCGTGTGTATGTCACCAGCTGGAAGAAGGAACACATGACCAATTTTGTTTGATTTGCAACCCTCACCTCCTAAGTCAGATTATTTTGAAGTTAAACTCAGATGCTATATGTGATGATTATTTTTCATTATTATGTCTACATACATTTATGATTGTTAAGGATCATTTTCTTAAAAAAATTAGCCATATAATTATTCTACTTAACAGTACTTCCTTAATATAAAATTTCCAGGCACATTTCTTTATGAAAAAATATTTTCATCTACTTGAATGACAGAGTGTCAGAGAGAGAGGAGAGTGCTCTTGCATTTGCTGATTCAACTCCTCAATGTATGCAACAGCCAAGGCTGGGTGAAGGAAAAATCAGGGGCCTGGAACTCCATCGGGTTCTTCCATGTGGGCGGCAGAGGCCCAAGCATATGAACCATCATTTGCTGTATCCCAGGATGACTCCGTGGAGAGCCGGGTTGATGAAGTGTCTGAGATTCCAGCAGGCACTCTGATGTGGGGTGCAGGCGTCCCAAGTAGCCACTTCATCAGCCGTGCCATTCTTGTCCTGACATTTCTATTTAAAAGAGCTTGACCGTGAAGCTAGGAGGCAATAACTAAAAGTGATTTTTTTTTTTTTGCTTGTTTGTTTTTTGAGTGCTGACAACAGATGTTAGGGAAAGACTCAAGAAGGAATGTTTGAACCTGGAGTGGATAAAGTCTTAGAAGTCTGTTGGAAGTCTATAAAAGTATGAAATGGAATGGCATAAGCAGGAGGAGAGAATTGGTGAACTTATCACATTTAGCAAGTATTATTCAAGTGCTAGCTCATTTATGTTTCTGGGCAGTGTGCTGGCATTGGGTGGGAGGGAAGGTACCCTGGGAAAGGAAGAAGTGACAATGGCTGGAGCTAATCAGAGTTTGGGTGGCAAAACAGTGGACGAGTTCACAGCTGATTTTCTCTGAGAGGTGGTTAAGCGTAAGGGTCCACTGGTGCGAGAGGAGATGGGAGTGCTGAAGGGAGAAGGGCAGAGGTTTGCAGTGGCTCCACGGGAAAGAAGCTGGCCCAGTGCGAGTGAGAATTGGTTTTGTTGAACAGAGATTAGAAATCCCTGGATTTTCATCACAGCACAACATGAGGCTGGGCAATTTTACTCCTGACATTTTGATTGATTTACCAAGGAGGAGCTTCAAATATTGAGGAAACCAGTGAGCTTAATGTATTACTGAAGAATGTGTGAGTCAAGACGTGAGGGTCCCAGCATAAGCTGCTGTGAATTTACTTGTTTAGTTAATAATTACTGGCTTTTGTGTGAGTATACCATCTCAGCTGAAATGACCTGTATACATATTTCTGAGTCTTACCTTGTGTATCCTCTCTGGTTGTAGAGAACATGTCCTGAAGGCATTGACTGTGGTGCTGTGAATGAATCCAGCGAATGCGTCTGCTGTCAGTGCAGCTCATTTTCGGTACAGTCCTAGACAAGTTCTCAGGCCAGCAGTGAACTCTTACCTCCTTCATGGTTTTGGACAAGGTGAACAGTTCAGTGGACAGAAACCCTAAATGCTCAGCAGTTGGAAGCATTTTCTTCCCCCCTTGTCCCCTTTCTTGCCAACAACATGGCAGCACTGTCAGTTGTGTCTGGCAAGAAGGCTGTGTCCTGTGACTTTGTCTCACCCTGTTAGGCAGGTAGATGAGGTGGTACAAAACATTACAAAATGATTTGGTCTTGTGAAAGGATTCGTTAGCTTCTCTTCCTCAGAGTTGGGCCTTTGGCCTCGTGGGTAAGACGCTTGATGGGAGAGCAGCGTCCCACACTGAAGAGGGCTAGGGTCCCGCACTTAGGCTCGTAAATCCCAGCTTCCTGCTCACAGGGGCCGAGGGACAGCAGTGATGACTCAAGTTGGTTTCCTGTCGCCCATGTCAGGGGTGCGTGTATTGAGATCCTGGCTCTCCACTTTGGCCTCCTGGCCTTTGAAAGCATTTGCAGAATCCATCAGCAGGTGAAAGCTATTGCTGTGCCTCTTAAATAAACTAAATAAAAAGACACTCCTTAAATGCTAGGAAATGTTACTTTACAGGCCACG